GCTTCAAAGCCAAGTGACTTCTTTACTCAGGACATTAACAACCTGATTGTAAGATGGAAAAGCACCGTCGATAAGAATGGAGACTATTTCATTTAATTAATGTTTTATTTTGATATATATGTTGTTCGGATTTTTTTTTCATCTAAAAAAAGCTACTCTAATTTATTGATGATCTAATATATCACGAATATTTTGTTGTACATTTGGTTTCGCCTCTTGGATTTGTTGTTTACACTTTTCCTTGTGTTCCTACCAATTACATCCACGATCGTCCTGTTATTAACTAACTACCTATGGTTTAATTAATAAACATATTCAGTGGTACTAAACTTAACCAATGAGGAAAAACGGAGAACTCGGTACACGGCGTGTACCCCCATTTCCATCACTTGTTACAGCTAAAGAAACAAATATATTTCGCTGAAGTGGACTTTGCATCAGTTTACCAAATAATGAAAAACAACAACAACAAAACACGACGATAACACCATTAAGACATGTACACATGCAAGTCTGAAATTCAATTTTAGGAATTATTTGGGTGCGTGAAATTTGATGATAAAAACAACTAGCACAAATACATGTAAGAAAATGAAATATAAATTGTTAAAGTCGTCAAAAGAAATTAATGTATCACCGACTTTCAGTGCTGTTGTACTATAATCGATCATTTTGAATGTCGAGATATTTATCCAAAATAACAGGAGTTTATCTAAAATAATACTTACTAGCAGAGACCCGCAAAACATTTCCGGCCAAATTAGTATCTTTATCGTAATAGTACTTCTTTAAATATAACATTTCTAGCACAATACAAACGATTGTAATCGTAGACAATGAAATGTGTAAATCCACTTGTTTATAGGTCGTACTTTATAAAACTTTAACTTATGTTAGGCCTAAGTTCGATAAAGAGATAAATTAACACTGTAACCTGTGTACGTTTTTTTTTTTTACTTTAGTTTAGTTAGGACTAAACTTTACTGTACTTAATACTATCGATAAATAAAGTTATAATGTTATTCTACGACCTAATGTCAAATGTTTTTTTAAAAACTTTGATGAGATTTTAATATTCTGTTGTACAAAATGGTTAGTAAAGTATATTTACATTCCCCTTTTGTTGTTACTTCTTGTTCCATACAGCAATTGTAACGATTTGATCACTGAGCTTTGCAGCTCTCTGCCGTAGGCAGACTGTTTATCGTCGAGTGAATAATGCGCATGCGCAGTTTTTCTTGGGGGAAACATTCTAACTACGCATGTTTATGCAGCAGGTTCTCTGTCAGAAAGCGTAACGGTCGTACATACAAAACAGCAGAATAATAGTATAGATAACTTAAACTCGGAAACATGTAAACTCGCACTGTAACCTTAATATAAACGAAGTTCGATATTATCTTTACCTTTATTTATGTTTATGAGTCATATCGTGACGTCATGAACATGATAGGACGTTGAGCGTTTTGATTGTGGTTTGCTTTACTAACTGCAAGAACTTTAAAAAGTTGATTTTTATAAATTAAATAACATTTTGTGCACCAACAGCTAAATAAGAGTGTAAGTATACCTATGTAATTTCATTTATATGTTAATTTTAATCATATTTCATATGACAATATCTTGATATAATACTCATAGTAATTAATGTATTCAACAAACTTAACTTAAGTTGAATTTGAAGTTAACTGTTCAGACCTGACAAAGCGTAAACTTAAAGTTAGAATATCTTAAAAGTTAACTCAAATAGAATGATCTGTAAATCGAAATGTATGAGATACCATACTACCTTAATAAATATACATAAAATCATATCAAAGGTTAATATTATTATTATATATGACGTGTAGCCATTTTGTTTAACTTAGCCTTAAGCCAAGGTCGGGAACTTATTTCACACACACTTTGTTGGTTTGTAGGAATTTTCATTACTTCTACTAATACTAGTAGTAGTAGTATAGCTAGTTTTCTCATAAGTACTAGATAAATATTAGCACATTATCCATTGTTTGCTTATTTTATTGGATATTAATTTGCATGTAATTGTAAAATTAGAGCAGAGTAAAACACATGAAACTGGATCATGGATGAGACTTTTGCAGGAAGCTAGTATATCAGTATCACTGTTAATATCAGGCTAGCGTAGTGTAAATTACAGGTGATGAATTTTTAACAGTGTTTTCTATAAACTATTAGTAGTTATATTACTACTATATTCCTGCACTAATACTAATAGTAGTATACGTTTCTTGCCCTTTTTTTTACCGTTTGTTTATTGTAGAATTAGTTTAAGCTACTTAAAATATGTGTAAAAATAAAATTATTACTTCAGTACATTTACCACAAAAACTGCATGAATAATTTTTAAGTTTTTACTTTTTTTTAATTTGATTTATTGCAGTACAAAGATAGATGTATAAGAATATGGGTAGCAAAATAATAAAGGCCATTTGTTTTAGCATAGTCAGCTAATCACTGGTTAAATTAAAGTACTCTAAAAATGTATCTAGCAGCACAAGTTTTAAAAGTTTATGGCTACCAGGAGGTTTTGGCTCCTTTCCTAAGCTTTCCCCTCTATTGTGCACATGCTCTAAAAGTAAGCAATATATTGAGTTCAAGCCACACTATTATTTGGTCTAAACAAGGTAAATACAAGCTGTAGGCATCACTATGGCTAGTTATTTAACCAGCAGACACTAGGCCATACTCTCACATTTGTAAACTGTGTACAAACAGAATATATGTATAACATTGTGCCAATGGAAGTTGTACTAGCTGTCAAATTGGGTGTGAATTTGGTTAGTATGTATTTAGAGCTGAACAGTTGTGTTAAGTTATGGTAAAGTTACAAAGCTTATCTCTACTGGTATCCCTATCCTCATTACCCATTTAAGCCGTCTCCAGCCATTATTAGTCACATGCATGAATGTTTACACTTAAAAGAAAACCCTAATTCTTCAAGAAAACTTCATGTAAGATGCATTGCTTTAGTTTTGTATCAAAACTTGTGTTACATACTTATCAGTGGTTTAGTAATTATAGGAGATATTTTCTATTATTTCTTTACAAAATCCAGTATAATTTAACAATCTATAGATAATAGATGAAAAACTGAACCCAGTATTATTAAATGTGCCATAAATGGTTATACATTTACAAAGTAACAACATTGTACTTATTTTGAAAAAGAAGTCTATAAATAGATATGAACTTCCTGTTTGCTTTTTTTTTTTTCACCATTTTGGCTCTGAACTTTGATTTTGTAAAATGCTAGATGCTTTTATAAAATTATCAAACCCAAATCTTTTCTGAAATTCAAAAACTTTTTCTAACAAATTATTAATTGCTCTTAAATTCTTATATCCTAAGTGTGTGTGCAACCAGGTTCTGCATTGTTTTTTCATGTACACAAAGCATTGCACAGACCTGTTGTATGATTAAAATGGTTGTGTAAATATTATTGCATAGTAGTGTGTCTGAGGACTTACAATGCCAGAAACTGGGTTTCGATACCTGCGGTGGGCAGAGCACAGATAGCCCACTGTGTAGCTTTGTGCTTAATTCCAAACAAATGTGTTAAATGTAAATATTATTATAATTATAGTTATTGTAATTCTGGTACCTTTTTTGACTTTTAATTATCATGCATAAATTACAAAATTGCAGATATAAATAACCTTTTAATGGTTAAATTTGTGTCTTATATAGTTATTGTTGTGTTAACACTATTATTTGAGAATACATATTGAAGTACCTTTGTACGTATATAACATTATTTTCTTACTATTTGTAAACTTTTTACAAAGTAATTAGGTTTGTTAGATGTTTAAGCTCTGTTTTGGTCAACAAAACATGTCCTCCTTGCCCTGAGTGTAAATCTTGGCCATTTTATGTCAACTCTTTAATTCTCTCATTCATTATCCCTTCTTCTGGTTAATGAAAAGTAATTTGGAGGGTACGCTCTCTCGTAGTAGCTTAATTATTTTTCACTGATCCTTTCTGAGTGAAAATGTGAGCAGCACGGCCTAGTTGTTTGCACTTTGTATTTGTACTGAGATGGTGTTGTCATTTTCTTCTGTTTGTGCCCCAAGAAACCAGAGCTAGGCATTAGCCATAACTATCTTTTAGGCACGAAAAGGATTAAATTGCTTGCATACTGTGTGAATGAAGATGCAAATATTTTTTAAATGATACACACATGTAGTTTACTTGTCATAAGAAAGAAATATTCCATTTCATTTTTTGTGTTCAGGTTTTAAAGACTTTTGTATGTGCACTAATACCACTTTGTATCATAATGTATGCTTTTGTCTATTTTTGTCTAAGTATATTAAGAGTCTATAGGCTTCATATTATGTTATTTCAATCCTTTAAAAATGTTTCATTTATTGTCATAAAAAAAACTGGGAGGCATACCCCCATACCTCATAGATACAAGATTACACGTACACAAAAATTTTACCTGTGGTAGCTAATCACCCGTGGGATCTGTATTAAATGTAGAATGATATTGCTACTGTTTACTGTGTATGCTACAATATGTTGTATATATATATATTCTAAAACGTATTATGTCAGTTTCTGTGTTCCATTTAGCACTAAAATAGATTCCAGTGTGACAAAAATAATAAATTTCACAATTTTTAGCATTGCGTATGTAATATAAGTTTAAAAATTAATGTTCTGCCTTGAAAGATCATGTGATTTTTGGACGTGTTTTTAGAATTTAAAAAGTTGCAAGAGACCAGCTTTCCCTGATCTTTATAAGCAAGTTAATGTCTGGACTAGGAATCTAAGGATTCATGACAAAAATAAGGTTCACATTCCAATCCCATGGTGCATTATAACAGTGATGTTCAAATTCTTGCCATGTAGTCAGAGAAGAACAAGAGTTGGCATTGGGTGCTGTTCACATTATCTCCTGTTTGTCAATTCAAACTTTTGGATAGCAGGAATGTACATAAAGTTTTTGTATGTTCTGAAAACAAATGATAATGATGTAATGAGATATTCCTCTACTGGAGTTATTCAACTTTTTCCAGTATCAAAATGAGACTTGTTTCATTTTGTACCTTCATGAAATTTATCTTCAGCTCAATCTCATCTTGTAAATTTTATTCCTTTTTTTCTTTACATTGTTTATTTTATTTTCAGTCTATATAATCTAGACTGTATTTCTCTTGTCTGGTGTTTATTCTAATCCTCAATATCAGTTTTATTCCATCACATAGAGAGAGAGAAAACTTTATTAAATTAAGAAACATATTTTTGCCAAAACTGGATGATATGTTAAATATTTATGGTAAGGTTGTGATGATTGTTTATCAATCATTGTCATGGTAAGTAGCATTTATGATCAATTGTTTTAATTATTAATTAGTTAATACATTTATTATTGTTAGATATTAAGTTCTAATTAGTTTATGTTCTGCAATTCAGGCAAATGCTAATCTGCTCCCATCTGAAGGAAAGTCCTGAAAAGGACTGTGTATAGTGGTGATAGTGACAAGTATTTAATCCTGGATCTTGTTAGAAAAGCTGATGTAGTTGCATTATTCATTTATTTGGCATCTTTTTTGTTAATTGCTAAATCAACTTAACTGTTTGAAGAGTTTTAAGAGGGGTATTCCAGTTTTGCTTAATTTTATGCTAGGCTCACTGAATGTTTCAAGCTGAAGACACAATTAGTAAACCTTTTAACTCTTTCAACATGGGCTAAGTCCTTGGGACCAATCTCATAACTTTTAAGTTAACGAAATTTGGCAGATTATCAGTAAACATTACAATGCTTTCATATGCAAAATAAAAATTTTTTTTAAATCTTAAGGTTTGTAAAGCAATGTTTTCTTATGCCTTTTTTTTCTTTTCGCATGATGCCTATCCAACGTACAAAGTAATTTTAATTTTAAGATTAAAAATACTTTTGTGCATCAGAAAATTTTCAAATTTCAAATGCAAAATCTTTATAAAGTCCAGATAGTTATCGAATGTTTCTTAAGAAAAAAACTTTATCTTTTTCAGTAACGAATCTCTGTACAGGTTTGGTCAATTTCACCGATCTCGTAACCACATTAAAAAAATTAGGAAATAAATATAAATTAGGCCTTTTTCGTTCTAGAATGACTACAGAATATAACACAAAAACATAAATGCTTAGACTAAATAGCTTAAACCTCATAACATTATACATTTATATATATATATATATATTGTTACGACAGCGGAGGTCACGTGACGCTAGTAACACGTCATGCGCTTCTTGAACGTTCACATCCCTTCCTGAAATCTCGAGAGCCTACTAGATATGCAGTAGTCTTGTATATATAAACCGGTAAGAACTGAAGGCAACAGGGTAATGTGTAATTGACAGTTGAGTC